AGTCCTAGGTCCATGATCCACCTTGAGTTGGTTTTTGTGTATGGAGTGAGGTGTGGGTCTTGCTTGAGTCTTTTGCAGATATTTTTCCAATTTTACACTCCCACCAACAGTGAATCAGGGTTCCAGTTTCTCCACAACCTCTCCAGCATTTGTTGCTTGAGCTCTCTAGATTTTTACTGCTGCTGCTCTCAGCACAGGAATCTCTGACATGTGAAGGACACATGCTACATTATGTGTTGCTTCTTTTTGCTAATATCAAGATTACTATTTTCTGTTCCTAAATCTGTTTAATATAAACCTGGGTGGATGACAAAACTGATCAGCATGCAAATATGGTACACAAACTTAAACATGTGGAGAATGTAAAAGTCAATGGCAAAAGAAAGCCATTTTGAACAATAAACCTACCTCACTACGGTATCCATTTATCACCAGAATGCTCTGACCAGGGACACCACAGACAATTCCAGTTAAAATGGGGAAAAAACACAGAACCAAACTCAAATCCATACATATACACACACAGACACATACAAATCCATACTGACTAGAGTGACAGAGGCTGGTGAAATCTCTGAGATTACTGTCCAAAGATATTCTTTTTTGCCTCAAATTGAAGTCACTCCATCTTTCACACAAACACGAGACTGACATACAAAATAAACTAGAACACCCACGAAGAATGTACTCCTTAAAGCTGAAAAGAGCAGCATTTGCTCCAAAGCAAGCAGGGGCTGGCAAGGAGGGGGATGGAAATGGAGAAGTCAGTGAAAAGGGGAGAGCAGCCAGGTCCAGTGGATGATTTATTTATACCTGAACTAACTGCTAAAGAGGAAATTAATCTGCAGTATGAACTTTCACCTAAGACTAAGAGAATTTTCAAAAGTAAAAAGGAATTTATATGCAAGAAATAAGCATACTGACTTACTCTTGCTCTCACTGAGCTCCCCTGAGCAGCAGCAGCATGTATTCGCAGACTGTGGCTGAGACGACCTCATCCCATGGAATGGGATGTCTGCAATACCAGTTTTCTCATAAAGAAAACAGATGACATCACTTGTAATACCAGTGATACTATAAAACCCAAACCCACCAGGACATTCTGAATATTGCTAAATGGAATACAATACTATATTAAGGAATGCAGTACTTCTGCAATCTTATAAAAAGAAAAATTAAAGCTCAGGAAAATAAACAAGAATTAAGAATATGGCATCTATTCTTCAACACAGCCTCCCATCTACTCAGAGATCACAATTACTGGCATCCAGAACTTACTTAAAATCACACAAATTCAAAAGTAAAAACTGCTCCAAAAGTCAGTGTTCACAGAAGTTCAAATCAGAGTGTGAAGAGAGGACAGAGATAAGCAACTACCGGCACTTACCTTTGTCACTGGCATAAGGTGCGTGAACATTATTGCTGGGAACAGACACATTTTGGTGGTGTGGCTGGTTTACAGTTTCTAAAAACGAAACCAGATTTTCATGATGGGACAACTCTTCTGCCACGGGAAATGAGACAATGTTCCAGTTTAGGTGAGTGTCCCCTTCAGTGAGGGCCCGGAAGAGTGATGGGATGGACTCATGCAGTTCCTCCACAGTGCTCTTCGACGTCGGAGGTGTGTCACTGTAATTTCGAGGATTGCACATACCTGAGGAGAATGAGGGGAAAAGAATAAGTTTAGCACTGGCATGACTGAATGCGTTCACTGATAGCACAATGGTCACTGTCCTATAATCAAAGCACCAAAATATTAAAAAGATGTGACTTGCAATACTACACAGGTACTTTCTTAGCCTTTTCTGCTGAGGTAGCCTAGAAGCAATAACATTTTATTCAGTAGCAATGGGCACTCCAGGCATTCAGCTTTTTTTCTAAATTGTTGTTATTGATTGCCTTAGAGTAGAGCATGACTCATAGCGACACTATGAACAAAAGTCCTGAAGTCCCTCTACAACTATCAACATTTATCAAAGTTCACAGAGTTTCCAGAGGCATGTTGTTTAGGAAGTGGATGCCACTCCATCTATTAAAGGAAGAGAACTCCTTTGGAGAGCTGGTAAATTGCAGGAGTGGGGCTGAGGAAGCACAAAAGGAACCTGAATACCTTTTCCTGCTAGAGAACAAGAAAAGTGCTCAATGATGGAATTCCACTGCCAAAGTAGTTTTAGCAACCAAACAATAGCAACAGTAGATTACTACCCTATGAATAAAATTAAAACCAGAGAGTCTTTATATTATAAATGAATGCAATGAACAAATGCTGGCAAGGGTGTAGAGAGACTGGAATGGATAGAGTTCTGGTATCATTTGCTGCTGATTCTTCAGTGGATTATGAAGTTGTAGACCACCTCAGAGGAGAATGTTCATTTTTCTCCTGTGGGGCCACCAATGAGAATCCTACAGTCTAGATCACCAGAGCTCACACTGCTGGTGGGAATACAAATAGTACAACCACTATGAAAAGCAGTTTGGCATTTCTTTAGAAAATTGGAAATACAAGTATTTATTGGATCCAAATAAGAGCTTCAAGGTGAACTGATATATGCACACTCATATTTACTGAAGCAATATCTGTTGTTATAACAGCAAAGAAATGAAAACATCTAAGTGTCCAACAACAGAGGAATGGGATCATGCAAACGAAAGCATATCCACATAAAATATTATGCAACAGACAAAAATAATAAAGAATTCCATATATACAATTCAATAACAGAAGTCAGAAGTAGAGGGAAGAAATGGGGAAAATTCTATTACATGTGGGTTCTGAAATTAATGTCATAGGAAAAAATTGTTTATGAATGGTAGAATGAAAAATTAATTTGCTTTGTAGACTTTTGAAACTGAAGAGGACCTGAAGCTCTTGCTACAGAAGGTCAAAGACTGCAGCCTTCAGTATGGACTGACGTTCAACATCAAGAAAACAAGGATTCTCAGCACTGAGCCAAAGCATCGTGATAAATGGTGACGAGATTGAGATTATTAACATCTTTAGTTTGCTTGGCTCCACAACTGATACTCTTGATACCGGCAGCCAGCAAATCAAAAGATTAACTGCACTGGGCAAGTCTGGTATCAAGAACCTCTCCAGAGTACTGAAGAGCAATGATGTTAGTCTGAAGACTAAGGTGCGCCTGATCCAGACTGTGGTCTTTGCAATTACTTGCAATACATCAGAAACCTGGACAATTACTACAGAGAATAGAAGGAGAATTGATGCCTTTGAGCTGTGGTGCTGGAGAAGAGTACTGAATATACCATGGACTGCTAGGAATAAACAGGTTTGTCCTAGAGAGGGTGAAATCAAGCTGTTCCTTGGAGGCAAGGATTCTAACGCTTTGTCTGACATACTTTGGTCATGTTTTAAGGTGGGCCCAATCCTTGGAGAGGGACATCATGCTTGGAAAGGTGGAGGGACAGTACATGAGAGGAAAACTCTCAATGAGATAGATTGATTCAATGACTGGGGCAATGACTAGGTGTATCAGAATCAGTGATACAGTCTCAGTACAGGGCAGGCTTCAGAACTACTGTCTATCGGGTCGCTGTGGGTTGCAGGCGACTTGACTGTACATAACAACAGTTATATGCAAATAATGACTTATTTCAGCAGTGATTTAAAAAGTATACATATAGTTGTAATGTTAAAAATAGTGCAAAAATCAATATGACATTATGCTTATTCTTATTCTATTGGAAGAAAATTCAAAACAATTATAACACAAAACAGAAAAATGAAATAAAGATCCTTTCTTGATAGTGAGGCTTCTGAAGCAAGGGGAAACATCAACTGAGGTTTTAAGAGATGAGAAGGGTTAAATCTCAGAGGAGGGGAGGTTGGGGTTTTCTTCTTGCTACAAATGACACAAAAGCCATTTTCTTTCTAAAAGACAACGACAGCATTCTCCCTATACACTTTGTACCTTGCTTGCTGTTTTTGCTTAATATATTTTGGAAACAGTTCCTCAGAAAGCCTGTAAAAACAGCGTTCTGTTTTACAAGGACTACTAGGACTCTTATATAAAAGAGAATAATGTATTTTTAAATATGCTAAGTATAACATATTTTTATAAAAAATTCATCAATGTAAAAATTAAAAAGCCTCTTTTGTTCTCCACATACCCTTCTGAAAGTCACAAATTTTTAGTTCATGATATATCTTCCCACACTGTCTTCTATAAATATGAGAATACACAAATACACAGAACAGACTGGACTATGTTCCAGTGAATAAGTGCTGTGCCAGTGGTATAATATAATTTTGAATGGGCTGCCTTTGTTATGTTAATAAAGTACAATTCATGTAGGCTATATTTTAAGAACGTCTTTTTAGATATAGAGATTAAATAAGAGAACTAAGGAGAGGATGATGGATGTCAATCTACACAAAGATCTCCAAGGAACCAGGCAGCAGAAACTGGAGAAAAGAGGAAGTCAGAGTCAGGGAAGGCCTCCCCTATAGGCAGTCCTGACTGGGAACTACTGGGCCCCTAAATTGTGAGAGAAAAAAAATTCTACTTTTTAAAACCAACCATATGAGGTATTTCTATTACAGGAGCACTAGGAACTTGGGAGACAGAATTTGATAAAAGTAGTTTTGGAATAGGGTAATGGGCAGAGGCTAGAAGAATTTTAAGCTGCACAATAATAGTAAGGAGGGAAATTTGGTGGTAAGGAGTTGGGCCACAAAGCCAAAGACACATAGTCTGAATTCACCAGTTGTTCTGAGGGAGAAAAATGAGCAATCTCTCCTGTGATTTACAACCTCTGAAAACCCATTGGAGGGGTCCAACTTTACAGCCTGTGGGAACAAGTCTAGACTTTCTTGAATACTTTGATGGTAGAGCCATAGATGTCAAAGGTGATTCCAGTAAGAGCTCACAAGAAAGTAATAAGACCTATACATTTGGCACTACCAATAGTGTTGCTAGCAACATGTGTATTAAATAAATGCTTTTGGTAATACTTTAAAAGCAAATGACAAATGTGATTAGACAATACTTTTGTATGTGGTGGCAAAGAATTTGTTTAAGTTATATGCAAATGTCTGGTGGAAAGTAGACCCTGACAGCGATAACATCGGATTTATTACTGAAGATACTTCTAAGCAAGATCTTAAAGAGGATGTGTGGGTTATATAATTTGTGCAAAGCAAAATCCAAGAGAAAAGAGATGAACTTGAACCTGAATTGCAGGGAACCTTGCTACAACCAAGAAAGCAGCAGCAGAGAGGAAAATACATCCTTTTGGGCCAGTGACTTCTGCAATATGGAGATCAGACAAGCAGCAGCAGCAGCAGCAGCAGCAGCAGCAGCAGCAGCAGCAGCAGCAGCAGCAGCAGCACAGCAGCAGCAGCAGCAGCAGCAGCAGCAGAAGACGTGGTCGACATCAGAGATCGATGTGAGACAGAGCAGAACCAGAACGACCTTTTCACAGAGCGAGAGCCAAAGGGCCCGCCTAGGCTTACTGAAAGAGAGATGGGCAGTAAGCACCATCATTGGCAAAACTAAAAGAGCTCTGTAACATTGGCCCTCTTGGTGGCCCAGTCTGTAGGGAATTGCACTATTAACCCAAGGCTACATCTCTCTGGTCAGAGACTTAGAATCAACCAGCAGCTCTTGGGGGAAAAAGACAGGGAATCTCCTTCTCTGTAATTCAGTCTTGGATAACTAGAGGAGGGTCAGCTATGAGCTGGTTGTGATTTGACAGCATGAGAATTGAAAACCTGACCCAGAGCCACAAGGGAGGGTCAGGGAGGCAGAGGTTAGAGGGAGCCTGCCAGAGAGCACGTAAGACAAGAGGCTGTCCTTACTGAGGAACTGTAATCCGACACTTCAACCCTATAATCATAAATAAACTGCAAAATCAAGACAAGACTGAAAGCCCTGGAAAACTGTTACATACACTAAGGAAGGACACACGTGCTCGAATTTCTATTAAGGGCAGAGCTACACCGACATTTGTTTAAAAAGATAAAGCCTGTGACTGATGGATCCAACTACCCTAATAGACAACCCTCTGTGTAGCCGAGGGTTAACTGCCCAGCATGATTTCATCCTGGGATCGTCTCCTCCTGATAACACGCCCACAGTACATCCAATGAAGCTTCCCCATCGTTTATAAGAACTCTAGCCTCTTTATTCCAAAACAGATTTGTTCTTTTGACCAGAGCACAATCAATATTCACTGCTATCACTACAATTAAAAGGAATCAATTCTTTTGCTATCTTTCACACTCATTGTACAACTCTCACATGCATACCAAGCAAGTGAAAATAGCAGGGCTTAGATTAGTTTTACTCTGTAGCATTTTAAAGAGGTCCTTGACAATAGATTTCCCCAAAGCAACATCTTGTTTCATCTTTTTTTTTTTTAGCTAAAACAGTAATGACAGATTTATTAGAAAGTCACATCATCAAAGGAATGGACTTAGCTCCCTGAAAGGAGATATGGAGGGATGATTTCACCTTATCCCTTTTCTAATAATCTTCATGATTAAACGTTGAATGTTTAATTATGAAATTGTTTATTTTGCTGCAAGGTTATTGCCGCACTGTAAAAAAATAGCATCAGCAAAGGCAGTATGTCGCTATGGGTCACAGACGACTCGACAGCATTTAACAGCAACAATAACAAGAAGATCGTACT